ATTCACCAAAATGTTCAGATCAGCTGTGATTGTCTAGGAAACAGTGTTATTTTATTTGAATTGTTATTCAACATCATTGATTCAACATCATTTTTAATGCCTTCCTTGTATAATTTGACTGATATCATGCTCTTCACAAACTGAATGCTGTAAATCTAATCTGAACGTCTCAACCGAAAAGTTGGGTTGTGTAAGGTTCCAGAGATAATGCTGATTGTAAAGATACACGTTTTTACTGTGCTCTAATCAGATCATATCAGTGTGTTTAAGTGATAAATGCTAAAATGTTATCAAACGCTTCCTTAAACTTAAAAGCTACTGCCAACCAGTGGACATATGTGGAATTACATAACCACGCTTTTTTTCTTGGAATCACTATGCCTCCTAGTGGCAATACTTTTTGGCTTGTAAATTGAAGTGTTTCTAAAAAGTGCTGATTGCTAAGGTAAGTATTCCTAGCATCACATTATAAGTAGTATAATATATGCAGTATAATATTATTATTATTGCTCAGACTTAAGTTTATAACTCAGGGTTTGTTTTAAGCATGTAACTTGTCCCGCAGGATGTTGTTATATTACTTTTCTAATACATTTGATGTTGTATTTTTACCTGGTGGAAAATTATAATTGTGAACGAAATCCCACAGATTTGCATGTAATAAGGGATCTGTGTCATATCTAAAGACCAGATCAGAGTAACCCTGGCAACCGCAAAGCAACATGACTAAAAAGCAGTCAGAACAACTTAGCAACCATATCGCACCCCCCTGAAAACCACGAAGAACACTTTAGCATCACTGGAGTGTGATGTCAGTGTCCTAATTTAGACTTAATGGAGCTTTATCTGAATATATATCGGAAAACTATTGGATAACACATGCATTTGATTTAATATATAATTAGCTTTCCATTGGAAAAAATATTGACAACTCCTCTCTCTTGCTCTCAGTGTCAGGTAAACGGCGAAACGGGCGCTCCTGAAGATGAACTGACCCCTGAGGCGGTGGAGCTGTGTCGTAAACTCGGCAGCAACGCCACTCGAGTCAGCGAGATCACCGGTGGCCGTGACCGCGCCGTAAACGCAGCTATTCAAGACTCCATCAACCGCGTCAATGAGAAAGCCACCTCTAACGCACAGCGCATCCAGAAATGGACTGTGTTGGATCGAGATTTCTCTATCCCTGGAGGAGAACTGGGTGAGTTTCTTTGTAATCAACTGTCTGCGAGTTATTTCTGGGTTTTGTTAGTAATTCTATTGATTAAGATGTAAATTCTGTTTGTTTGACTGTTTTAAACTCTCAATCTCAGGGCCCACGATGAAGCTCAAGAGGCCAGTGGTCATGAAGATGTACAAAGAGCAGATTGAGAGCTTTTACAAAGAAGTCGTGACCCCAACCACCCCAGACAACCCTCTGCCTCCTAAATAGGTGCACAACAAAAGCCCTTGTCATCCACTTCAGATCTGGAGACAAAGAGACTGATATGGTCTAACACACACATGCTTACATAGGAACAGCACACAGACCTTGTGTTTCGCCTTACTTTTGAGTTAATATGCGTTCAGGGTTTTTTTTTTAATTGTTAATTTCATACTGTTTACATTTTTCTGTATTACTGAAAGAAGGACATGTTTGTAACATGTTTTGTGTGTGTGTGGTTTACTATTTATTTTTCTGGCCTAATTATAATGAAGTGTCTTTTGAGTCATGTCGATTTATATGTAAGTGCAGCTGATACATATTAATTTATGGTTGAATTTATCAACAACGTTTGATAAATCTTAATAGCTAACTTGCACATTAGCCGTGACTGAATTCTTTGAGAATAGCTTTGGGCGTTTGTCAACGGCACTGCTGTGAAACGAGTGCCACCAAAAACACTGGTTGTTTAATGGAAACTAGATGTTAGCGGAGGAACATCCTCAAGACTTCGTTCTGTAAAGATTATTTTGAAGGATCCCCATGCCATACAAGCCATACGTGTTTTTGTTTGCTCATTTTTCAGAACCAAATGCATCACATAAGTTCGAATTTTTTTTTCACTTATGCAGTTGGTTAATATTGTCGTTAATTCTTTGTAAAAAATAATTAACCTGTTAAATAGTGTAAATACGAATTGCATTAATTTCCTCTTCTTCTGTGGTCTTATTTAATGCTTTGCTGTGTCACTGTGACAATCCTCAAAGTAGCAACTATTTTCCTGCCACTGATATCTGGACAGAGACTAGCAGTGAATATTTATCTTATGAAATACGGGGCATGAAGGATCTGGTGTGAGAAATCGATCTGTTCAGATGTGATCATTTGACTTGCAGTGTTCTTTGCTTTGCATGTGCAATAACGACATTTTGACCAAATATGTAATTGACTTTATTTATATTGTATGCTTAGTAAAGTTATCATGCAATTTAGAAAACCGATGTGGATTGATAAATAGGCTAAATGGACTAACATTGTCTTTAATCAGTCAAGCGCTCGCATATACAAAAATGTAACCGCAAATGACGTAATGCAAATCCAAAGATTGATCTTGCCTCTAAATAGTTTTATCACACTAAAGAGCTTTCCTCAAATACTGGACCTGTTACTCCAAAGTGTGTTTTCTGACCGCATAGCATGACCACAGCGAGGCCTTTTTGTAAATAAGAAAGACTGCTAGTAAAATGCGCATGAAATGAGACGAGTTGTTCACTCAGTCAGAGTAGGTGAGAATGAAGGTAGAGCTAGTGAAGGATTTCTTTTCTTCTATTTGGGATTTCTATTACGGTTTAAACTTAATTGCTCTTTCTTTTTCAAAAATCCATTTGCCTTTTATAAACAAGAACAAGTTTATTTTTAGACCAAAATACTGTCTTGACAAGCTTGAAGGGCAGCTCATTTGGAAAAGTGAACATACGGTAACATGAAGTCTCAGACTGTGAAAGACTTGACTGGTTTTACCTGACTCTAAAAAAAATCTTGAGCTGGGTGACAATTAGTTGTGTGTCGTGTCTGTTGAAACTGGATTAGTTAATCTCGGGAGATGGAACTCGATACTTGTTTGTGAAAAATATTTTACTGGACAATAAATGTACTGTAACCATGATCAAGTGTTAAAGTGGTCATCCTTCATCTTCGGATAAATAGTTTCATTGGTCAATAGGATCAGAAATGGCTCACAGCTGGCAAGACATGCACAGTCTTGCACAGTCACAGAAGGTTACTTTGGAAATGTAATAGGTTACAGATTACCGGTTATTCTATTTAAAATATAATTAGTAAAACTATTTAAATTTATTGTATTAATGTAACTGATTACTTTTCTAAATTTCCAATGAATGTTTTCAACTGTTAATCATTTTCAAACATTTAAACCAGGTTGGGTTAATCTGCAAATTCAAACATTTATGCAAATTCAAAAAATAGCACTGCAATTTCACACAAGAGCATCTCTACTGAACGGCCTTTATGTCGGGAGGCTTCGTACACATTAAAAACAGGAAAAGCAATAAATTAATGTAATTCAACATATCCTAGCTTTTTACAGAAAATATTCAGGTGTAAACAACTATGTAATTGCTAATATTTTCATAAGTAACTAATTTAATTACATGTTTTTACAAATAACTAACTGATTACAGTTAATTACATAACGCGGTAACTAGTAACCTCCCAACGCTGAAGTGTAGTAGCCCACAAATTCAGTGAAATACAGTAAATGCTCTTTGGGGTGTTTCTGTGCTTCTCATAACGTTGTATGATTATTTTACAATCAGATTAAAAGGACTACTAAATCATACATTTACATATATATCGTAGTCAACATTTGAAGTGGATCAAAAAAAGTTAATCAAGGTTGTCTAAGACAAGAACGACAACAGAATATGAAGAACTCTGATGCAAAAGCCTCTAAAGCCACCTCTGTGAAAAATTAGATAATATTGAATGAATGATTTACATTCATCAAATAGTTTCACTTCAAACTCACTAAATCCCAACCTCAGCCCATTCAGAAATTCCAGTACTTGGGTAGAAGCCTAAAAAATGTTAATATTAAACAAAAAAACAAACAAAAAAATAGGACTTATAGGCTTTTCCATCTGAAGTCATACCTACTGTTTAAAAGTTTGGGACAACAGAAATTATATATATATATATATATATATATATATATATATATATATATATATTAAATAAATGAATGAGGAAATATTACACTGATCAAAACGAGTAGCATTTATAATGTTAGAAATATTTCTACTCCAAATCAATGCTGTTTTTTTATTTTATTGATAATAATACACGTTAGAATGATTTCTGAAGGATCATGTGACACCGAAGACTGGATATCAGGTTAATTACGTTGAGTAATTTTAAAGGGATAGTTCACTTTGAAATTAATTTTTTATATGTTTTAGCTTACCTTAAGGGCATCCAAGATGTAGTAGGTGTCTTTGTTTCCACAGTATTTTCAATTTTGACATTTTTTGGTCAAACCGTTGTTGTCTGTCAGTCATATAATGCACTATGGAGGTCCACCTCAAAGAGCATGCACAGAGAAATCCAAATTAAACATGATTTAATGACTCGTGAATGTAAGTAACTTACACACTGCTGACATAAGACACAAAACAAGCGGTTTGTGTGAGAAAACGAATAGTATTTATATAGTTTTTACCTCTTGTTAACAGCCTCTTGTCCAACTGAACCGAACTGAACCGTCTCCAACGTTACCCCGGAAGTGATCTCTCACGCGTCTACATCACGCATTTACACGGAGATTTCGGAAGTTTTACCTTTCACTAAACATATTTATCGAGATATATCGAATTCGTCTTCCATTGCGATTTCCCGTATATCTAAATATGTTTAGTGAAAGGTAAAACTTCCGAAATCTCCGTGTAAACAATGCGTGACTTAATCACACAAGAGATCACTTCCGGCGTGTATGCTTCAAATAAACGTCAATAAAGAAGAAACTCATACGCGTTTGGAACAACTTAAGAAACATAATACGCTATTGAACAGTACTCAAATGACTTTATTCATAATATGACTTTGCAATAAAAACATAAAAAGTAACATCTTTTGCCCTTATTACAACTTGCATCATATGACCACATGGTGGCATTGTATGTCAAGTTTAACACGTCATACTAAAGGGTTACTCTTCTGTTCAGATCAAGGAAGGTTTTCTACCACGTTATCAAAACATATGTAAAAACCCAGACCTCCCCAAACCCCACGGATAAATACAGTAAGTCCTTCCGCGCTCACAAACACAAATAAAACCACCACTGACTGACTGACAAGACAGCTCTCTGCAGCTGCAAGCGAAGTGTGTGAAAATGTTGATGCAGTATTAACCGTCGATTAATGAGATTCCGACTGTCTACTGTACATGTGCGACTACGCAAAATGGGCGAAATCCCCCTTCATTAGTGTTCTTTGCTGCATCCCATGTACAAAATACAGAGGTTCTTCACTTTCTTTCTGGGGAAAAATATAAGATGTTTAAACTAGCTGGTCTTAGAGGGATGAATTGGCTAACAAGTACCCAAAACCGCCTCGAAGACCAGCAAACTATTAAGACATTTTTTTTCAGCATGGTTTAAATCAAATTCATTAATAAACTCACAAACACTTGTTCGTTTCGCAAATATGCAGTCCCCCCTTGTAGTGGATAATAATGAGGCTACAACAAAACAGATGCTAGTAGAAGTTCATCTGATATGCAAACACACCCTGCCATGAACTCATATATATTGGCCTGAAGTAAGTTTCAAGTTCTTATGGTCACTTTTACAGTCTATCATGATATAATGTGCTGATACAGAGGGGGAAAAAATCCTTAAAAAAATGGCAATTCTTGACACAAAACAATTGACAAATTAATATCATATTGCATGTAAATATTGTACAAAATTCTTAAAAATACAGATTAGACAATTAAGTACTTGAGTCAACAAAGCCAAAAGTGCAGAGGTACATAAATAAAAAAAAATAACCCCCTCAAAATAATATATATATATATTTAAAAAAAAAAAAAAAAAAACCTGGGTGTACTCAGTGGGATGTCTTTTCAGAGCCGCCACTCAAGTTCACCTAACTCCACTTTGCCTCTTGCCCCGCCCCTTTATGACAGGCTGACCCGAACCAGTATCCGGTCAAAGGTTAAAGTTCACAAAACAAGAGCTGGGAGTTAAAAGTTCACGCACATAACACTCAATCATTCTCTTGCTGAAAAACGCCCAAACATCTCTAATCGTTTCAAAGTTATAAACGTTATTGTTAGCCAAGATTCAGACAACGAATCGGTTGAAGATTTAAAACCCATGCAAACGACACTCCCAGACTCTTGAAGGGTGAAGTTAAGGGCATGTGGTCTGCAGCTCAGGCCATGGAGCCTCTTAAAGCTATTAGCATAAGAATGGACACGCAGAGGCGAAGTGAAGCCGAGATGTAGTCGCTCTGAGAGAGAGAGAGAGAGAGAGAGAGAGAGAGTCAGAAGCACAGTGAATCTACAGACTGTTGTTCTGCTAGGGGCCACTGAGAGAAAAACAGCTTGTCTTGTCCTTTTCTTTTGTCTCTCCCGCTTAGCCTAATGAATAAACCAGATATGATGACAGAAAACACAGAGACCAACACAGACTTCCAAATACTTCCACAAGCTGCACTAGCAATGCACAACATTTAAGTTCTAAGGCCCGTTTGGCGAACACCTAAATGAGGATTGATGCATATTGGCGTACAAATCAGAATCTCCCCGGGACGATATCCAGGTATCCCACATACACAGAAGGATTGACTAAAGTCGGAGTGAAAGATAACACTGCTGTAATTTCTAAGAGCACAAATGAGATGGTGTGAAAAAGGCACTAAGACTAGCCCTAGAGGATAAAAAGCGATACATTCATGGCATGTGGGGCTTCCTTTTCCGACCACAATCAAAAATACCTTGAAAAACATTGGTACAAAAATAAAATATAAAAGGTTGCAACCCTTGATGCATCAGTGCGTATGGCTACAGAGAGACTTTTGCTTTCTCTCCAGCCGATTTCGAATATGACCCTCTAGCAGTTCTGGCCCCGTTCAGAAGAGATCTTCCTGTCCGACAGGATATTGAGGAGGAGAGAAGAAGTGTCGTAGTGTTGAATTGCTGCACTTCCTCATCAAAATACTGTATGATTCACTCCTTTTCGTGATTTGTTTCCCCACTGTTTTCATTTCCTGTGAACAATTTTCACCTTTTTGCAGCCCTCTCTCGGGACAAAAGAGGTGAAAAAGGGCAGCCTCCCCCCTCCCTCCAGCCTTGATGGACTTCCTGTCATGTGGCGGTGGCCTCCAGGTAGCTCTGTAGTTTACGGACAGTTGACTCATCCAATGAGAAAAGGTCAAAGTCAAAAGTTGTGTTGGTGACATTAAAGTGGCCCGTCTCCTCGATGAGGTTCACGATCTGGAGGCAGGAAACGGGTCAATGGTGTTTGTTCCATGCTTTTACACAAATGCAAGCTATTTTAATCCACACGCAAAAACACCCACCTGCTGTAGAACGTTACGCTCTCTTAATGCCATCAGCTTGCGATGAAGGTCTACCAGCTCTTCAGTGTACGCCTGAAACACGAGGAGAGGAACGGGGATCAGTTTCTACACCTGTACAAGCTTGTATAGAAGGACTATAAGTAACTATAAAAAGCAACATCATTTACTGAAATTCGATTAGCTGAAGGGCAGCTTTACAAACTAGTACTAGTAGCAGGATGTCATGCTTTGTGCACTGACTGAATGGACCTCAACTCCAAAACAAGTGAGCTGCCTACCTAGGGAGCATTTCCTGAGACGGAGGCGGTCTCAAAAGATGGCTTATTATACTACCGATAATAATCTTTTTTTTTTAATTTAAGAAGAATTGTTGTTGTTATTATATAATAGTAAGAGTAGTTGTTGCATTTATATATTTTATTTATATAATACTATCAATATTTCATGAAATATTTTGGTAATACGTGTCGATAAGCTACATTTAAGATCCAAAGTTGTATCGGTAACACTTTAGTTTAGGGTCCAATTCTCACTATTAACTAGTCGCTTATTAGCATGCGTATTGCAAGGATATTGGCTGTTTATTAGTACTTATAAAACACATATTAATGCCTTATTCTGCATGACCATATTCTACATCCTACCCAATACCTAAACTTAACTAGATTAACTTAACTAACTGTTAAGCAGTAGTTAGGAGTTTGAGACAAAAGTCATAGTAAGAATTGGACCCTAAACTAAAGTGTGACCATTGTATCTGTAAACATCAGTTATTGCACTGTCCACTAACATGAACATTTCTATTTACTAACAATAACAAAGGTTAATAAATACTACAAGAATATATTGCTTATTGTTAGTTCATGAGAGTTAATGCATTAACTAATGTCAAAAAATGAGACCTTATTGTAAAAGGTACAATTATATTATGTATAAGAATATTTTTTATTAGAATTTATATATATATATATATATATATATATATATAAAGAGTACTGTTGGTCATTATATACTTTATAAAATAAAATATATTGTAATGTAATTTGAATTCATAATTATAATAATAATAGTTATAATATCATTGACTTAATCATAATTTATTGCTATTTTATATTTAATTAATTAAATAATAATACTTTTTTTATTACTACTGAATATTATTCAAATATTTCCCCCCCTATTTGCGTTATGTATTTTTAGAGTATCGCTATTAGCTTAGCAACATGTTAGAACAAACTATTGAAATCAATTGTGAATGAGGTTCCATTTCAGTTAGCATCCCTTAGAAGGAAACCTAAGTGGGCCTTACTTTAGTTATTTTATTTAAATGTTTAATTTAGGTTCCAGTAAAATAGTATATAAAATTAGGAAGTTCTGTAGATTGAATTTAGCATTCAGTTATTGAGCACAAGATTCCTGTCCCGTTCGGTTTCTCTCTATAAAGCCGGAAGACCCGTTTCTCTCTATTGTAAGTTAAACGAAACAGATTACTGAAACTCTAGGGGACTCTCATGAGCTTTTGTCTCAGCAAGAGAGAGTCCTAGCATTCCTGTTCTTGAGTCTCAGTGTTTGCATAAGTTATCACTCTCAGTTTCAATACAGGTTTCCTAAACCTGTATATGAGTTTGCTCCACCTCTATGTAAATCCCTCCCCCTAAATGTATAAATTGCAATGTAAAAGTCCCCTTCCCTAAGATACCTCAACGTCTCCTGGTCTAAGCTTCTGACTTTTCTACACTTTAGAAGGAAATAGTTCACAATACAGCTCACAAGGTTTTGGAACCGAGGTCTTGTTGGGTCAAGTTGATCAAATAGAAATAACTTGCGGAGAGAAGAGGTGAAAAATTAAAAGGTTGATTTACCCTTCCTACCTTGTCGTATCCCTTCTTCAGGACCTTTTCTTGACGTAGACAAGGGTCTGGACTCTTTCTGCCCGAGACCTGTATGATAGACAGACAAAAGCAAGCAGAGAGGAAAGGAACAAAATGGAGAAAAAGAAAGAAATCATACAATTGGACTAAAGAAGAGGTTTAAAGAATGATTCATCAAGACAATGATCTATGGCAGTGTTTTTCCAGCAATAGTGGAGCAGTGCCTGGAGCGCTCCGAATCCTGGTGATCTGACTGGCACCCAGTTAAGTAGCATTCCACAGTCAGTGGATCAAAAGCTGCGTGTCACCACCTCATTTCAACACTGGGCGCAGTGTAATCCAAGAACTAATGCCAATCGTCCATCATCCGACAGTCAACAATCAAGTTCCAAAGGAGCAAAACTGTGTGCTAAGAGTGTGTTCTGTAAATCGAACGATCGGCATGACTGAATCAACGAACACACCAGTTGGACAGCAGTCAAGGCTTAACAAGAAGCTGATACGGTCTTGAGTGTCAGTTCACCTTGTTGTTGGTGGAGCTGTGTTTCTGCGGCTGAGGGGGTCGGTCTCGACTGGGACGCTGCGGCCCGTCACTGCAGTCGCTCTCGCTGTCTAAACTCAGTCTGTGAGGGGCAAACATCAAACAATTAAACCCTGTGAGGAAGTTAAAGGAGTAGTTCACTTTTAAAAAAAACTTTTGCTGATAATTTACTCACCCCCATGTCATCCAAGATGTCCATGTCATTCTTTCTTCAGTCGAAAAGAAATGAAGGTTTTTGGTGAAAACATTCCAGGATTTTTCTCCATTTAATGGACTTCAATGGGAACCAAACGCTTCAAGGTCCAAAAGAGTTTCAGTGCAAACTGCAAACTGTTCAAAGGGCTTTAAACGATTCCAGGCAATGAATAAGGGTCTTATCAAGCTGATTGCTCATTTAAAAAAAATAACAAAGTTTAAGTTTTATAAGCTCAAATGGTCGCCTTGCTCTGTTCTGTGATGTGCGATCGTGACTCTCCTGTTCGAACTCGTTCATCAAAATGAACAAATCTTTTCCAGAGTGCTACTCTCATTCATTCATTTTCAACTCATTCATTTCGTTTGTTGAATGAACCGAATGACAGGAAAAAGATTTGTTCATTTTGATAAACGAGTTTGAACAGGAGAGTCACGAACGCACATCAAAGAACAGAGCAGGGCGAGCATTTGAGCTTATGAAACTTAAAAAAAAATAAAAAATTAAATGAGCGATCGTTTCGGTTGATAAGACCCTTATTGATCGTCTGGAATCGTTTAAAGCTCTTTTAACAGTTTGCAGTTTGTACTGAAAGTGTCTTTTGGACCTTGAACCGTTTGGTTCCCATTGAAGTCCATTATATGGAGAAAAATGCTGGAATGTTTTCATCAAAAAGCTTAATTTCTTTTTGATTGAAGAAAGAATGACATGGATATCTTGGATGACATGGGGGTGAGTAAATTATCCGCAAAAGTTTTTTTTTTAGAAAGTGAACTACTCCTTTAAAGGTTTACCCAAGAATTCCAGTAAAAATATGTCATTACTCACACCTGTGTTGATCCAAAACAGTATGACTTACGTTCTTCTGCAGAACACATAAGAAGTTATTCTAAAAAATGCTGGTAAAAAAAAATTTCTTTCGGTTCCCATTGACTTTCATAGTATGGACAAAACAATACCATGGAAGTCATTGGGAAACCAGTTTTCACAACAACATTATTCAAATATCTTCTTTTGGGTTACACATGAGAAAGAAAGTCATACCGTTTTAGAACGATACCAGGGTGAGTAAATGATGATCACCCGTGAAATGTAGTCTTTCAGATTTAATTGATTTTAAAGAATAATTGTAATGCACGCCAAACACTGAAAAGAAAACCCTATTCTAGCAGTCATCTCTCACAAAAGTAAGTCTTTCAAAGCGGCTCAGCAACACTTGAGTGAGATGAAGAATAAAGAGAGGCGTATGAAGTGAAGTGTTTACTCTGAGCAAACAAATCCGTTCTCCGCCTCTGCTAACATTGATTACAGGGACTTAAAGCATCTGAAAGACCTGCTTAAACAAACATTGACAAGAAAAGAAGGAGAATGACCTGGAGTCTCGACTGGGCAGGTTGTTCTTGACTGGCGTCTCTTCGCCTGAGCTGCTATCGTCATCGTCGGACTCCTCCGACTGGAGGTCCTCCACCATAGTGCGCAGCGGGCCTACTGTGGTATTACAAATGTATTAAATGGAATTTATTACACTACAAACCAGAATGAGCGTTTGCAAAATATATACGTGGTTTGGTTTAACTTTCAAACTGCCGCTTTAAAGGAGTAGTTCACTTCTTTTTTTTTTAAAAAAACATTTGCTGATAATTTACTCACCCCCATGTCATCCAAAACATCCATGTCTTTCTTTCTTCAGTCGAAAAGAAATGAAGGTTTTTGATGAAAACATTCCAGCATTTTTCTCCATATAATGGACTTCAATGGGAACCAAACGGTTCAAGGTCCAAAAGACACTTTCAGTGCTGTTAAAAGAGCATACACTGAAACTGTCTTTTGGACCTTGAGCCATTTGGTTCCCACTGAAGTGCATTATATGGAGAAAAATCCTGGAATGTTTTCATCAAAAACTTTAATTTCTTTTCGACTGAAGAAAGAAAGACATGGACATCTTGGATGACATGGGGGTGAGTAAATTATCAGCAAATGTTTTTTTTTTTTAAAGTGAACTACTCCTTTAAAGGGGATGTGCGAAAAGAATTTGAAAAAAAGTGATTGTTTTCAAACAGATACTCTGTCCATCTGCCATTGGTTGGATTAAAAAAAAAAGTCTTACCCCAAACTCACACCATTAGTTAAGCCAACATTTTGTGACAGATGTCTGTTGCAAATTAAAATTGGAGCAAGCCAATGACAAATTACCCACATCACCGTTCTAGAAGAACCCTTCATATTAAGGAAGTGCCTGTTTCTGACACATCCTTAACCCTCTCCATGGTGATCGATCAAATCAGCAGTGTGTTAACCTCGAGTTAAAGTATAGTAGTGAAATCTATTTATGGATCTGACTGCTGCTTATCAGGACACTCCCTGCAGTAAAAGAGCAGATCCTACCTTGGCCTTGTTTCTGCTGTGGCTCAAAGTCTGAGTCAGAGCTAGACTCTGAACTGGAGCTGGAATTAGACGGGCTGGAAGGTGCTGACTGCTGTGGGGAAGATTGGACAGGATACAAATGAAATATTGAGTTTATCACAACTTTTTAACAGCTTTTTTCATAATACATTTATTTATAATTTTAAATAAATGAATTAACACATTTTATTGTCTAAAAATACTATTTAATACCATGTTAAAATGTTGGCATTACCTGTCTTATTTATGGAAAAAAAAAATGCTAAATTAAATTCTTACACTTTCTTAATTTTTCCAACCCCTTGATTTATTTTATATAAATGAACACATAGATTTTAATGAACGAATTCAATTTAAACACATTTAAAAAGGTTGACTTATTTTAAACAGATGTTCTTGATTTAAAAAATCCAAAACAAATCTTATCAACAAAACTAAGTCCAACCTCAGATTTAGACGAGGCCTCATCATCCGAGTTGGAGTCATCAGATTCCGGAGGCTTCTTGGACTCCTTGACCTCCTGGGTCTCTGACTTGCCCTTGGCCCAGCGTCCCTTCTCTTTAGAGGCCTTCTTATCCGCATATCCCGAGGAGACTGTGGTGGAGGACGCAGTCCGGGGGGAGGTGCCGGTGAATCCCCCACTGCTAGAGTCTTTTGACCCCTCTGAGCCCCCCTTCTTTGGCTTCTTGACACTAGGTTTGGGCGACTCTGCATTGGAAGGTCGTTTGCTAGGGGCTTTTCCATCGGCCACTCCACCTCCCCCTCCACCACCCGCCGACACCACTGCCCCCCCTCCTTTAGGAGACATGCCTTCCATTTTGGACTCCTTCAACGTGAGTTTGGGCTCCTTGAAAGCAGCTTTGGGCAGGACTTTGTTCTCTTCTTTCACTTTGATCTCTTTTTTCTTCGATGATGAGGATGAAGACGAGGAAGGGTCACGGCTACTTTTGCTGCCGCCATCTCGGTCACCGTCCCCTTTGGATGTGGCCTTGCTTTCAGAGTCTTTTCGTGGCCGCTCTCGATGCTCCTTGGCCGTTTTGTGGGATTTGGACACTTTGCTTCCCTCCTTGCTGGGCTCCTACAGGAAACAGTGTTTGTTTTTAGTCTTTACGGTATCAAATTCTACCTTTGGTTAGCAAACGATTAAAAAAAATCCCTATTACAAATTAGACATATAAGGCAGTACACTATTATCATTAGAGCTTTTCACAGGGCGATTAACATCGGTTTATTGTTGTTCTAAACCCCACTTTTAACCTCTTGCAATTTAGAAAAGGGGTTGGTAACGCTTTTTACCCAGGGTTATGAAACCCGGAGCAGAGTTAGCAGAAATGTGTCCGGTGGGAAACAATGTGCTGTTGGAATGTTACAACTATGCTAAGCAACCGAAAACAATTCGTGTGCCACATATTCACATGCTTCGGGTCACGGAAACTGTGCGCTGTATAAAAACAGTCGATTCAGCATTTAATAGTAAAGTGCCAAACGTCGATGGAAAACAAGTGAAGAAAAGAAGTGAAGGTTAGACCATTTTATTCATATTTTCATAGTCCGAAAAAAAAAAATATTACAGTTGGCAATCTGTAAGGAAGAAGTGCAATGCTAAAGGCTTTATGTACACAGGTCACATGCTGCACTCATCCAATCAATGACAGTGACACAGCAAATATATAAATGAGTACCCAGTGTTTAGAATTGTGCAGTGTGAAACGTCAGCTTGTGAATACACATGATTAATTGTTAACCTTGGGTAAATGATGAGCAGAGTGAAATGTGCGAGATAACCCAGTCTTCCATTTCCCTGGGGTTTAGAATGACCCTGACCCAGGGTTAGTTATTTCAAGAGTGAAAAGCCCTATTATAGGTCCACGACACAAATAATCATCATTCTAAAGCTAACTTAAGCTTTGTCAGTTATCTAAGAAACATCAAGATTGTGCTTATTATATTCTTGTTCATTCATCTGCAAACTGAATCATTTAATGTTTTACTAGTGTATATATTTTAAAGAAATTAATACGTTTATTCATCAAGAACTCATTAAAGTAAATCAAATGTGACAGAAAATACTTTTTTACAAAACTTTCTGTTCATCAAAAAACCCTGAAAAGGGTGTGTTTATTTGTTGCTACAAAAAGACTAAGTCTTACAATTGTTTTGAACCTTGATAATACAAGAATAATATTAACAATTGGAACCTTATTGTAATACATTACCATTCATTTTAAATTGTAATGGTATTTAACAATAGTTCTGTTTTTACTGTATTTTTTTATTTATTTAAAAAAAAAATGCAGCCTTGGTGAGCATTAAAATATATATATATATTTTACAAAAGGTCTCTTTGACGTTGAACAGTAGTGTACATTTACATTACCCTAGTTCTTTTTTGTACATTTACGTATAATAAACATGTATAATAATTAACCAACTAGTCATTTTGAACATCCCTATTATTAATATCGTAATCATTCCGTAATATATTGTATTTGACACATTGTCAAATATGACCAAAAACTGATCCCCTATTAGGATAAAGCACAAAGTTTGACACCTTTAATAATAAAGTAATCACAAAAGGCCATTAAAGCATGTCTTAACTGTGATACCATTACCCATCTGTGACCTTCACACAAAGGTCATCAGCTGTATTAATGAGGCTGTGCTGAGATTAGGACTGTTAAAGCTAATGGGGATGCTGGAAGACGTCCAACACTAGAGAATCACAGCAACTGACTCTCTTTACTGCACAAATGAAAGATGCCTCAAAGTGACCCAGACAAAGCGCCAGTGCTCGGACATGATAAAGCAAAGGTCATTTAATAGAGATATGACACGTGTCCTACATGATGGACCCTTAATTCACACTGAAACGATCTAATCTGCTGTTTAGAAGTAAACAATAGGAAGAATAGAGAAAAACTGCGATCCCTTAATTTCTTCACAGGTATCCGGTATCATAAAATATTTGAGAAGAAATACAGAGGGGTTTAAAATGTCTAGAATCAGAATTTAATTAGATTATGTCTAAACATAATTTAAATAACAATAAACTACTGTTAAAAAGTAACAGGTCTATAAGATTTTTTTATATTTTTGAAAGAAGACTCAATCTCAGGATTGTGGACCCCAATAAAAAAAAAGAGAGAGATTATGGCATATTTTTAAAACAATTTTTCAGACCTTTGATCCTTGTGAGGTCTTGCTCTTCTTAGGGTCAGAAAAGGCAGAAAGTGGGATGGTTGGAAGCATGGGATAATCTGGGCTGGGTTTCGGGACTACTTCTGCTCCCTCTGGGACCACCATAATCTGAATGAGAAATCAGAGCACATACACAATGTACAGTTTTCCTTAATAAGCTGTGCTAGATATAATAAGGATAAAAAAAATCCCATAATGCACCACTCACTCACCCCTCCAGCCTTGACCAGCTTGCGACGAAAGTCACGGGTGGGGTTATTAAAGGTGAGTTTCTCACAGCGCAGGTGATTGACAGGCGGGTTACCCTCCAGGTTGAGGAAGAGGTCGTAATTGAAGCACACCTTCTTTGGCTCCTCCTGCGTGAACGGCAATATTTAGAGATTCCATAAAATAATTTCACATTAAAAGCGCAGTAAGTGATTTCTGAGAAACACTGTTGATATCTGACATCAACCCAAACAAACACAAACCCTTCCCTTCATAGCTCCGCCCCCAAAATGCACAAACATGCAATGCAAGAGCGGTCTTCTACTTAGTTTATAAACATTTGAATTGCCCCGCAAGTGTAAAGGCCCGTACACACCGGGACGAATATCAGCACGCGTTATTCGTCAGCGTTTTTCAACACGTTTTTTGTGTTCACACCCAAGCGATTTTCGATGACGATGAGCCAAGTGAACACGCAAATTCATTCCCTGACATTAGATGGCGCCAATTTGCTCTGCAATATAACTCATAACAGTTCTTTTATCAAGATGTTTGTAGTCCCTGTCGCGTTTGTCATATAGTTCTTTATATTCTAGCACCAACGAGAACAGCAGCACTAGATTCATCTTGCCTTGCATCTTCCTCGTCTTATTTCTTCCTGGTTGTAAAGATGGCGACGCGTATATCTTCTAAACTGTTGCATGTGTGCTCGGCAAGACCGTTTTGTGTTTGAGCGCCCCCAAATTGATGCTGCGTTCAAGTCATCTCGTATAGATCGTAATTACGAGTTGGACGCACTTGAACGCCACCACAATGTCGTAAATACCAGTGGGGAGCTCGGGATTTTCTTTAAGCCCCAATCTGTACGAGTTGGGGGCGTGTCAGTGAGAAACGTTCATTCAACGTCTGTTGACGGTAAATTTTAATTGAATTTCAATGTTTACTCATTGACATTGTAAGGCTTTTTTAATTTATAAAGCAAGCTCTCTGCACAAAATATGATATCATTGATATATAAAAAATTATACCTAATGATAGAGTTTACATTGGCTTCATAAGCTAATAAAAAAACATAAAAAGAAAAACACACCTGATGTGCATTCTTTGTTCTTAATTTTTTATTAACAGAGTTAACAAACCTTGCTGTATTTTCGTGTAATTCATTAAAAGAAGGTACACCGCCATTTCGCTCCGACGAAACTGACTTGAACGCACCTCACGTCGTAACCACGACTTCCCACCTCGTATGTACAAACTTCTCAGGAGAACTTGAACGCAGCATATGTTTTACTGTCTGTTCAGAAGCTCCAAACACGTGAGCAAAAGCGTCAATCTCATTGGTCGGATAGTTTTTGACGCGGCGCGTCAAACTAAAAAAACGAACCTGAGGCGTTTTTTTAAAAAATGACACTTTTACGTGTGGCGTTTTACGCGTCTGTGTGAACACTCACATTGGCGCCCTTTGTTTAGTCACGAGGCGTTAAATGTCGGCGAATAACGCCCGCGAAATTCGTCCCGGTGTGAACAGGCCTTAAAAGTTAATGTATGTGAGTGTCAATACAAACTAGCTCGTAAAGATGTTCATGTGTACATTTGTGTATTTTATTGTTATATTTAGAAGACATAATCTATGTGCCTTTTAGTCATTATAACACTCCTCCTATCTGCACACTGCTATTTACCTTTTCCCACAGGACTTCGGCACAAGACTACAACTAGCCGTCTAAAACACTACTTAGGTGAATTTAAACAATGACTAAGTTGCAACACGCATCTTATTGTCATGTAAGGGCCCTGTTTATGTTAGACCGACATTTTAGTTGCATTTTGTGTCTGTTAAAAGGCACAAAGACACTTTTTATGAATATGCCCTCATAGCTGCCGTTTTAGCTGAGTGGGAGCTCTAGGCATTAGCTTTAGAAGCTCCGTGTTGAAAGCACCAATCCACCTGTTTTTTTTTTTGTTTATTCAATAGACAGTACTCACAAAGGTATAATGATGATCAAGATTAACTTAAAAATTGCCCGCAGTTCTCCTTTAATGAGCAGCTCGAGCATTTAAGTGAGTCAACAGAGCAGCAACAAAAGTGATTCTCAGACTACATTCATGTGGGCCTCGGCCAGTGCTTCATTCACAATTCAAAAGCAAAACCTCAGCAAAAGATCAGAATTACAAATCAAACACCCAGATGAACATCCTCAAACTCAATCTTTTTATCTCTGTCCCTCAGCATGCAGAAATCTATGAGTCGGTGAAATCAGCTCAGGAAAATAAGACTCTCTGAAGGCTGGGGATGTTTTAAAGGCAAGATACGACAGATACGGTTGCCTATCACAAGCCTGTGAGTCAGCGGGTGGGCTTGAAAAAAAGAGTGTAATTGTTTCGCATTATGCCAGTTAGCTCATAAGGAAAATCACTCTATGGTGCCAGCTTAATGTCAGTGAGGGGAAGTTCACAAATGACAAGACGGAAAGAGAAGCTGACGCTCTGATGAGTCACTGAGTGAGAGAGGGATTTGTGCGAATGAAAATGAAAAAATTAAATAAAAACTATAAAACAAGAGACAATAGCAAAAGAGGACAGGAGAGTAACAGGAAGAGACTCAACCTCACCTTGTTTTTGAAATAGACCTCTATGGGCATCAGAAAGCCAGCATAACCAGACTCCTCAACCTTGTATGGGGGCTCCTTACACACTGACATTAAAATGAAAACATGAATTATTTCACTGATAATTCCTGCATATACTGTATAGTTATACATTAAAATAAAATCTTTTTTTTATGCTCTCGTATGCTCATCAAGGCTGAATTTATTCAATCAGAAATACAGTAAAAGAATCGGACTATGCCGAGAACACAGTTCATTCATTTTCAATAAAATGACCTGACTGGACACTCCAGGAATGTGACCAAGCAGCATCTGCATGACCCAATTAATATTCACACACTATAAAATTAATTTTGCATACAAATCTTGGAATCGTTGTTTTGAACCAACTAGCAGAAATGCAGTCTGACACAACTGATTTTATATTATCAACAGAATAATAATATCAAATACATGGTACATATCATATATACATATTATTATCAAGTCATGCGTTATTCCAAGACATGTGACACCTGGAATGGATGAAGTGAAATGGGTTGATGTTTAATCCACTGGAAATAGTTTCATTTCACCAGTCATCCGAGGCTACTCATTTGCAGCCTAAAGCATTGATTTAGTATCAGTATCAACGCTCGTATTGTACCAAGCCAATTTTGATACTGACCCAACCCTAGCCTAAAATATGGAAAAAAGAAGCATGATGCTCTTCAGGATGTGTAACATGTCATGTGGCTCTCACAAGCTGTTTTTGAAGATTGAACTGCGAGTTGTGGTGCAATATCTGATATGTGAAATTTACCCCTCTTGGGTTTAGGAAAGCTCTCGTGCAGCCGGAAGACGACTTTATCCACAAAGTGCTGAATGTCGCTGCTCTCGGGGCCTCGCACGAACACCATCCAGTCATGGGTGAAGCCCTCTGATGTCACCTTCTTCCTCAGCTGGGCCCGGTGACCCAACTCAAGCTTTACCTGAACCGTGCACTGCAAACACAGAAACACATATTAATGAAATGCTTTGAAGTCAGTTGAAGTTCAGTAGAGAAGGCCTGTGGCATATGCGCAGTTGCGCGCGCACACACACACACGTATATATAATAAAAATAACACACACATATACATAAGTGACAGTGAAGTCGTAATATTGATAATAAGAAAAGTTTATTATAATAATAAGAAATGTTTCTTGTGCTGACCAAACCAGAAATGTTTATATACTGTCTGAAGGATCATGTGACACTAAAGACTGGAGTAATAATGCTGAAAATACAACATTGCATCACAGGAACAAATTACATTTTAAACTGAATTAAATTGAAAGCAGTTATTTTAAAGGTTAATAATGTTATTATGTTTTATCAAATAAATAACCTCTTAAAAAAAATCTTATCAGATCCAAAACCCCTATCCCTCTATCTAAAATTATAAACATTAAATGTTATTTATATTTTACATATTTATTGGGGTTTATTTTACATTAAAATATGTATTACAATCACATTTGAAAATCATCCAGCTGTAGGGAATTTTCTTTGTGGAAGACTATTTCAATTGGGTGAATTCACATAGCTGAAAACTGTTATTGATATAGCAGAGAAGAGTTACTAATAAAAGGCCTCTAGACACCAAAATCGGAGTAAGAATACCTTTCATTCATATGCTCAAGCTTATCATCTGTATCATCGACTAGTTCTGCCAAATGGCCAGAAAAAGCCATCAAGGGAATTCCTTGAAAAGCAGCCAGGAAAAATGAACATTGCCCACATTCGGTGGAGACGAGCCAGACTGGGTTCAGGTGCCCAGAGATGCTCAGCAGCTGCTGTTGACTCGAGCCCCTGAACTCATGGAGATTTAAGAACCAGGACAGACAATAAAATCAATTCCAGACATGCTTCTTTTTTTTCCTGAAAGGTAAACATAAAGTCCAGGACACACCAAGCCGACGCCAAAGCACTAGCTGCGACGAAAGCTGAGATTTAAAGTCAATTTACTCAAATTCCCATGAACGATAGTCGATTAACCTTTAGCATTCCTAGGTCATCTCACGTTTGTTGCCTCTCGGCCAAAAAACTGTGCGTGAACACCACGAAACGAGTCTAAAGGCGACTGTGAACTAGTGCGTTGCGTTCTGCACCCGTGTGTAAGTAAATATTTGTCTATATCAGCAGGAATCAATAGTCTATTTTCATCATTCAAAAAGAGAAAACAAGACTGCAGATATATAAACTGTAAACATTGCTTGCTTAAGATTTTGAAATCAATCAAGCTTAACCTTTTTTTTCATTCCAGTCGGCTCATGTTATTATGAAAATATTAGAGCCAGAGGACTCGGCAGGATGATATTATGCATTTTCTAAAATATCGGTATCGGCAGTTATAATGGCCGATAAATGAATATTTCAAAAATAAAAACGGACAAATCACGCTTCAACCATGTCATGAGTGTTGGAGTTGTATAGTTTGTCCACCAGAGGGCACTCTACACCGTCCCTGTTGGCAACACTCGTGTATTACGCGCCACACATCCTGTAACCCGCTGATCCAGCCAGAGTCGGGCAGAGAGATCCGCGAGTGAGATAATCGGTGAAGTGTGTTCATGGTGAGTTGGTCATGAGACATACATTGCTTGAATAACTATTAAAAGAAAATCCCCATCAGTTCTCTTAACTTAATATTTTGTTGCGCATTTCTGAAATAAAAAAAATAATAATATCGGCCGATATATCGGAATATCGGATTTTAAAACCAACAAATATTAGTATTGGTATCGGCATTCAAAATCCTTTATCGGTCAGCCTCTAGAAAATATTTGTGCATTCGAATGCTCAGGTACAACTATATGGCCTTCTGTCTGTACTCTGTTCCTTCTCATCCCCTGACTGACTCGTTCGCTAAGTTGAACAGCCAATCAGAGTTCCCTCTCACCGACGGGATCCGACTAGAGGCAGACCGACGCTTAAAAACGGCCCGACAGTCGGCTTGATGTGTCCCGGGCCGGCCTCATGAGGAAAATCACATTGGCTGCCCTCTGCCCTTTCACCATAAAGCCCTGCGTTGGCTGACACTTCCACTTCCTTGAGCCAAAACCTGCCAGCCAGTCCTAGACGCCGCCAGGCATCAGAATAACCCCTATGAGTCCATCTATCATTCACTCTCCCACAAGCCCCAGACAGAGATACAAAAGCCTGGCTATATCCTCAACGGCAAGAAACACTGCTCTTTTTCCAGAACTTGCCATGTGTAATTTCATCACAGCAACTTGCCTTGTAACGATTACAAACGCTACCTACATAAAAGCTGTTCCACTCCGCCTGAGAGGAACATGACCATCCGAATATGAACACAATATGGGACAGTATACAATAAGAGATTCAACACATGACCACAATAATGCCAAGGGGGTAAAAAAGATCAAAAGGCCTTTTTGAAAAGAGTAGATTAAACAGGTAAACACTACTGGCTCCTGGTCTCACATCCCTTTTTGTTATAAGATGCGAAACAGACACAAAAGTGGCAGACTGGATTCATCTCAGGTCAGTGCTATGATACAGATTATCAGTCAAGCACAGAAAAAATACAAGCAGGTCATAACAGGCAAACGACAAAACAACAAGTCTCAGAAGAGTTGCTGCAATGTTATTGTCAAAGGCTTGAAAACATGAATGAATGAAATGATACATCAACTATTTTTCCACAAAATCTACCATTACTTGAAAAGTGGAGGGACAAAACACAAGTTTACAACCTTTCTAAAAGCACATTGATTAAAAATATGATAGGCTTTTTGTTTTGAGATTTGCTTTCATCATCATGCGCAATTACCAAGCTCATGTACCTGCAATTAGTAGTCTAAAAGCAGTACAAACAATACAACCGGACTGATAATGGATGTAATAGCTGGATAAACGGCTCATTAATATTAAGCAGTAATGCTTAAACAAAAAAATATATAAATAATAGGTTTACTAAAATACAAAACAGTAATATGTCAAACTAACTATAACTATGAGCTATTGTATTGTATTAAAAACTGCTCATTAATGAAGCATATGATTTTCTTTCTACACAGAGACAGCTTTATTATGACGTTATTTTTACTAACGTGATGTTAGTACAATGTAGTCAAACTGTCAAATCAAAATAACACAATTAATGCTACTGGAAAACTGTCATAAAGAAAGACTCCATATTAACTAGTAACAATACCCGAGGCACCTATAGTAATTTGAAATCCCATAATATTGTGTAATAGTTTTACAGTAGTAACAATATCTGTAGTGGAAGCCGATTCTTATATTTTGTAATGGAATACATTCAACGATAATAAATAAATAAAAAAGTTTATTCCTAAAATAATTTAGTTGCAGCAAAAGCAATTAACCTACAGCAGATCACAGACACAAGGCAGAACGTGTACAAATGGCAATGATATTCACCTAGTACAGCATATGATCACTGCTGGCACTGCTCATAAATCATATTGCATAAAAGGGCAATTAATTAGCCTTGGAAAGAGACAGATTCCCGCTTCAGGGACCCCCACCCTCAGAGCAGACCTGTGCAATGCCCTCAGCCCTCAGTGTGCGTGCTCTGTCAGGAACATTAATGCATTGAAATGCATGTTCCTCATTTCCTCTAATAAAAGCCGCAGACTGTAGTGACTCCCGGACCAGAGAGGCACAGGACAAAAACACTCTCCTTTGTGTTTCTGCTGGTACATGCACGACTTGCCTTCTGCAAAAGCTGGCGCACGCATCCAGCCCTTCAGGCAGAGCTGATGTCCCCAAATACCGATGTAGCTTTAATATGCGTGGCCAGCTCGAGTCAGATAGCTGAGAGGAGGGAGGGAGGAGGGAGGGGGGTTATATGGGTCCGATCCGCTGCTTTCACGAGCCCCAAGTGTCCACATTCAGTTGCAATGGTGGATTTCTCTAAGCGCGCGCTTACAAAAGTTGACTTCACTCCATGCAACAGCAAAAGCGTTTCATACTCTACCTGATTCTCCATAGTTCACCGGCCTGATAAAGGTCCTGTTTATTTACAGAAGGCTTTTGAGCGGCTGCTCCCGACTCCTCATTGTGTGTCAATTCCAGCCCAAAACCGGAAACTAGACGGTTCCCCTCCCCTCTCCGGACCTCTGGCATGCACCCAAAACAGAAAGCGTTTGTGACCAATCATGTGCCGTCCAGGATGAGCTTGGCACCGCCCAGCCAATCGTGAAACGCGGTGGGCGGGACTTCCCACAGACTGCCTGTACTGGTAGGTAGTAATTAGAGATTAGCCGAACCGATGGGATGTTTTTATTTTTGCTGTCTGCAGCGCTACGTAACGTGCTGATATTTTTTCCTGAATGGTTTTTAATTTCGTATTTGAAAACAATGCATGTAACACACAGCTGTGTTGTGATTGGTTGTTGAGGGTATGCCTCTGTTCTGTGTTTAATTATGGGATTACAATAAAAGCTTAATTCTTAGTGAATGGTTTCATTTGCCATTTGAAGGGACTAATTATTTGAAGTATGAGAGACTGGGTTGTCATACTTTTTACTATAGTGAATATTTAACGGGTTTTCTCTTCTATTGTAAGCACTATTAAGGTCTTTGGCAGGCTTTTCATCTAAATTTAAACAGTTAACAAATAAAAAAAAAACTTTTAGTTTGGAGGACATAATTCACGAAAAGGGTATTATTGCTTTAAAAGAACCACTTTTCAAATTTAAAATCATTACTGTCCAGATTTTTGTATTACAGCATATTGATGCAGTTCATGAAGCAGCTCAACTGCCCTACACCTATAATGTACACTTGATGGCGCTGTGTCAGGAAGAGAACAGAGGCTGTGCTATTGAAGTATCCATAACCTGGAGTTGACCCCATTTTCTTCGTTTTCTAAGCAGCATCGTTTTAAGTTTAGTTTAAGTTTGAAATACTTTCAAATGACAACAACCCCGTAAATAAAAGTTAAGGTATTTATTAGTATGATCTCACGTCATATGCATGTCCCAGCATCCATAATGTATATAAAAAATCCATATATATAACAAAAATACTGTATAAAAAATCCCACACCAAAATGCACATATTCCAGTTATTACGTTAGTAAATTTGCACCATTTGCTGCGAGAAAATCATTCATATCTATCTCATAACGAACAGGTGGCTTGATTTTCCTCCTCTGATCAGACTGATAATATAACATATTTATATTTAATCATAAGTCAAGTTCCATCCATGAATCAAGTAGTTGATTATGACAAATTTTCTTTTAAGTTACTTGTCTTAAATATAGAAGCCTTTGTTTCATATTAAGTAAATCAAGTAAAATACAGATTGTTTTGTAGCCTACATACATTCAATCTTCTAAAAACTGTGCAAATACTCATTTTCACATATCAAAGAACGTTGTTTGTAAAGATTTTTTACACGCAAATACTTCAGTTTCGAGTTCTGTGAGAAATGAGGAGAAAGTGCCTGAAACCTCAACCATTTCAACACAATATGCAATGCAACATGTTTCATATTACTCTCTTCTCTTCAGTGTTATAACATATGGAGTCTCAGGGTATTGATCTAGGATCAGCTCCTTTCAGTCCTTATAAATGTATTCACCAAGATTTGAAGGCTGGAGCTGCACCAAGCAGCTTTAAAAAATGAGATTGCATCTGTTCATCTTGTGCCTGCTAGCATCTTTTCCGTGTCTTTGTGTTTCCTTTGAGGACTATGTAAGGCAGTCCAATGGCCCACTTATTCTGTGGCCAGTACTGCAGGTCAGGGAGGGAATAAGGGATCTCTAGACTAGCATCCATGTAAGCGACCAAAGTGGTACAGTAAGCCGTGGCCACCACAATCAGAATGTGCCTGAACAGAGAGGAGAAAAATAAACTACATTAGCATGATAGTCTGGACAATGTGCCTTAACCCTGTAAAGCCTGACATATAAAACAATAGTAAGAAGAATCTACTTTTTTTTTAAAAGAAGAGTTTATCGAACCGTTAAATGCTAAATATCGAATATATTTTTTGTTGTGTATCATATTGATACATCAGGCTTGTATGGCTCATATAGAATATGAGAATGTGGAACTCACACTCAAAAATAAATAAAACACCTCACTTTTATTCAGAGCCACAAACTGAGCAAAACTTGCTGATAATGTATTTAAAGGTAAGGTATGTGATTTTCCTTTTCAAGTGATTTTTTCAAAATCACTTGAAATTCTATTCCTAACCCATTTATAGAGTTATGAAATAAAATAACTCATAAATAAAATTTCAGTGAGCCACTGAAATGAAAATTAAGCAATTTAATGATCTGTGGAATGGGCTGTAGAACTAAAAAAAACTTCAGCCAATCATTTCCAAGACCACCTAGAATCATTGGACTGTAAGCTTGTCAATCAAATAGCATTGAGTATGCGCGTGTCCCCTTCACGCGCATACTCAAAGCTTGTGACCAGTCACAGTATATGCAAGTCGCCACGGTACAAAGAGAGAGAAAGTGCAATCTGACGCTTCTGAGTTTTGCAGATGCATGATTGCGCGTCCATGTTCTTCGAATGGGTGGAGTCAGGACCAGCGTTGGGAAAAGAAGGTAGGACCTTTTGAGGTAGGTTAGACCAAAATCCATACCCTACCCTTGACTTAAGATAAAATTCGGATTCCTTGTAATGTAAATTAATTGAGATCTTAATAACACATACTACAGTAGTGGCAAAAGTTGAATTTTATATATTTTTAATTTGAGCGAAAAACAAAACACTAAACTTGGTTAAGGTATTTATCTGACAAAATTGTTTGTCAAATAAAAGGTACTAGAGCTACAGGTTTTATTTCACTATGCAATGAAAAAAACAACAAGCTCACAGGGGGAAAAGACACAGTGACTACAACGTATTCAGTTATTAATATCTTGTCGGTTCTCTCTTGTTTTTGCTTGTGTTCATAATTTCTTTGACAAGAAAATGCACAATTTGGCATGTGTCATGTCAAATCTTTAACACATTCCTAATAATAACTGAGTAAAGGGTGAAGATGTAAATTTTTATAGGCTGGACATCACTTTTGGCCACTATCGTTCTTACTTAAAATGCATATAGATATCAGTTATCTCAGTTATGATATTTAAATGAAGCCCTGAATTTTTATTGTGGGTGGCAAAATATCTAAATCAATGAGTCCAAAAAGCCTGCTGTACAATATTTGATACTCACATTTGACCATGATATTTTTAAAACATGGTCTATGGATAATCATGTTGCTTCAGTCCAGTAACTGTTCATCTTGAAATATTACTAACAATAAAGGGTTCTATATATGTAGCATTGGGTTCTTTACTCAACTACAAAGGACCTTTTATGCAAAAAAATGATGATAATGACAAAAAAAGAACACTTTTGGCACAAAGGTTCTTTATAGGCTATTATTCATTCATATATTACATTATTCTGCAACATTTTGCAGTTGTAAATTTAAATTATTGTTTATTAAACTGTTGTAGTAACTTAATGTCACATTTTAATCATGCTGATTTTTGAAGGATAAAAACTGAAATGACACTCTTTTTTTAACCCCCATATCTTGAATTTTGTGATCATTCATGCATTGCATTTTAGGGGTTCCAAATACGTGGCGCTTTAGAACCTTTTAAGGTTCTATATAGAACCTTTTCTTCTAAGAGTGTACTCTTACATCAGTAAACATTTCACATGAGACTTGTGTACCACAACCTGAAAGTGGACATTTTTACAATTGTCCTAAAAGGCCTTTTACTTGCTAAAAAAGTATAGACGACATAAAGAACAGTTTTATCAGCAAAGTTTTGATAGTGTTCATAATCTACCCTTTAAGATTAGTGTCTTTATTGTGATTCAGTAGGAGTTAAAATGTACTCAACACAAGGCAGAATAGCATGGCTCACTCACCAGATACTGTGCAGATAACAGAAGTTCAGTTTCTGCCAGAAGCTGCATCCAAAGCGATCGCTAATCCAGCAGGAAATGGCCAGAACCCACAGGCCAGTGGACGCCCAGGCCAGACGCAGCACTCGCTTATCTGTGCAACTGTTTGACAAAGAGATCAGTGCTGAATGAGAGTGAAAACAAGCGAGATAGCAAAACAAGACGTATCATAAGTATCATTTAGTCTCAATGTGGACAAATGGTGACTATTATGACATCTGTAAAAAGCTTGAAGAGATAAATGCACATCCTTTACCTCCTTAACTCTATAAACAGAGAGTAGGTGATATGGATGCCAAAGCAGTTGAGAGCGTAGGCATTGGCTGTAGGTTTGACAAAAGAGGACAGAGTGCTTATGACAGTGATGATCAGGACCATACGAGAGAACGTTCTCCTGCGGAACAACAAAAAAGAGAAAGAGAGACCACACTTTAGACTGCAGATAGCCGAGTCATCTAAAAATATTCCAAATAATCATCAAAATCAGGGGAATGTATAGCTTTTGGGGGTCAGTAACATAACTATCTATCAAGACAGTCAAAGATGTAAGTTTACAACAGCATCAAATCATTTCATTTAGCTTTCAAGCTTTTAAATATTAATATAAGGCTGGTTGGACCCTTACTGAGAAAGCTGTGGAAAGCATCTCTCCCACAGTGAGATCAGAATATGCTGCAGGTTCAAACAGGGCTGCTGTTACACTAACTGAAATCTGTAAATGGGTTCTTTAATTGCTTCTATTTGTACAAAACTGCAGATGCAGATTTGTTAGAGGAGGGAGACAAGTTTTGCTCCATGCCATTTCATAGAAAGGTTTGTTTGGTATGGTACAGACCATGGTACACGGAAAAAAAATGATATTGTTACCTGTCTTTAACAAAAGATGGGAAGTGTCTGCGTGGGAACCACAGGGAGTACCCAATAGCCAAAACCCACAGGATGGACAGCTCGTCCAGCATCTGGCCCATAAAACTCAAGGTCATGTGAAAATACATGGAGAAGATACCTGAAGACACAGAGAAACAGACCATAGTGAGAGAAAGACTCCCACACTACATTTTTCTTGTCAAATGTCCCTTTTCTCTTGGAAATGTGTCACGTAATGGAAGCAAAATGGGATGTGACTACAAGTAATTCCTAT